CCTCACTATCTGTGAAAACACTGTGCATGAGTCATGTGAGGCAGATGTTCGACAGACAGTCAACACCATCAGGACGCAGAGGAGCAGAAGAAGGCGTTTCGCTCAAAAACAGACAACTGAGAGTGTAAATATAAAGTACTCTGTCTGTGATCTCTGTGAGAGGGGAGACCCGAAGCAGAGAGAGAGAGGAAGAGCTGCTCGACGCTGATAGACAGAAGCTCTGTTGTCTGTCTCTCTGCTATCAGACTCATGCTTACTTTAGCCGGACAGCGTGTTTGGACGAACACTGAGTGCTGCATTACTCATCTCAGATGAAAAGTTGCTCAACTCAAAAAAAAAAAAACAAAACAAAAAAAAGTGCAACAACAAAAAACATCAAACTGCAAGCACCAATCAAAAGCCAAACAGCAATACAAGTGAAAGCCACAAGAGCTCAAAATAATAATGCTATTATTTTTATTATTTAATAAAGTTAAATTAATTTTGCCTATATTGTTGACCTTTGGCCCACTTGGTAAAAGAACTGTCTGTGAAGTGCAAACGATCGATGAATCAATCATAATTGATTAATAATAGTATCATAATAACCGATGGCTTTTCTAAAACTCCAGAACTGGTGACTGATTACTTCTCTCATTTATATGAAAAGAGCATTCAGCGACTCCTTGTGAACATATAAACTTGACAGGTTTATCTTATTAGACTCTGTACAAAAAATCGCAACATGCATTATGATTTTATTTAAAGAATATACTGAAAGTTAAGCTTATGATGAAGCATATGCTTAGATGATAATGCATTCTGTTATTTACAGTCCTAAAAAGTCGACATACAGTACAGTTAAGCTTCAGTGTGTAGAAATTGATGTTGATGAGAGATTTTAAATAGTAATCACAAAATAGACTAAAATGACTGTTAACTGAATAATACCATACAAATGCCATAGAAATGATCATACAATTAAAATAGATCTCATTCAATAAGCCAAATCTGTTATCATTTATAATCATATTTATATATTTTTTCTAATTTACTAATTAATAATTACACTGATAGTCATTATTAAATATGAGTACAAATGTTTATATTAATATTAATTTAACATTAAATTTAAATAAATATGTATTTTAAAATCATAAAAAGTATTTGTTCTATTATTTTAAAATATCTGTTCATTTAATTTTCTTTTTAATAATTTTATTAATAACAATAATTAGTAAATTAAATTAACTTAATTATATAAAATTAAAATTCATATAAATATATATTTTTTAAATAATAAGAATTATTTATATTATTTAAAAATAAATTAAATATATTCCTTTCTTTCTTTCTAATGAAATTACCAAATTTATATGGGTTTAATCAATATAGTAAACCCAATTCTGCTCGTATCATTGCACATTTCTGTTAAAGTAAAGTAAACAAAGCCTCACCTGCGGCTAGACAGACTGGCAGGAGCAATCTGAATATGAGTCCACACACCACCTCCGAGGCCATCATATCACAATACAAGAGAGATCAGATGCTGAATTGAGAAATCTGCTTAGTTTCTTCAGGTCCAGTGTTTCTGTAGAGTTCGGCCACAGCACATGATCCGCTCCGGCCCTCTGGAGCCTGCACTCAGTTCAGTCTAGTCCTCATAGTAATCAAAGTGAAGCACTTTATAATCCCGAAGATCTGGCGCAGCTCTGTTTGGTCAGGACAGGTTCCTCAGTTCTCCTCAGACATGCTTGAGTCCCCTCAGAGCAGCAGCTCGTGCGTCAGGACTCTTACCTGTTGACAGGAGATCATGGTGCTGTTCCGCGTAAACAGCCGCTTCACACGCCCCACATCACAGCAACAAGTTGCAAATGCATTCGTTCCAAGTTGGCTAGACTTCCTCCGAACCGTGTGGCATGATATATCCCGGTCCTCAGCGAGTTTCCAACTGCACGCGGAGTTTCAGAAAGTGCGCTTTTCTGAGTTATGGAGCGTTTTGACGCGCGTTGACGCCGCACAGCTGTGCCTCTCTGGCATCTGGACGCACTTTTCCTCCTCCTCGATGAACAAACAGCCTGGAGGACCACCCTGCAACACTGACGAATAACTCCAGCGTTCAGGAGTCATGGGCAAGATGAGGGCTGGTGTTTGGAGGGGAAGGGGTGGAGGCTCCAGCGGCCCCAGGTACTGCAGCTGCTCTCTGATAGCAACACAACGCACACAAGCTTGAGAGAAAGAGAGAAAGAAAGAACTAAAAATGAAACTTTTGGTTGTAGGTTGTCTTAGGCTATAGGTCACGTGCATTCAAATGTACACTAAAATGATATATTTTCAATTACATTTTATTGTCAAAAATATTTTTTGTAGCGTTTGAAAGTAATTTTTGATGTGAAATGAAATCAAGAGTATAAGTGGCTGCAGCGCCACCTGCAGACCGTCAAAGGAATCCACCACAAGCTCTTCTATTGGATGCGAATGTGATGCGCACGGTTTTCATACAAGTCTATATATACTGGCTTTAATGCAGAAACGTCTGTGGTGTGTTATTAACAAAATAAATAAACCTGTGTGTGTGTGAAACTTTTCCATTTCATACTAGCATTTCCATGCTTATTATACATTCTTAATTAGTTCTTGTTCTGCAGTAAAAATGCCCATAAAACAAGATAAATTGGCCCAAGAAGCAAATCTGCATACATGTAGTTGAATAATCTATATCTTTAAACTGTTATTTTATTTTACTGTCCATCAGCAATTTTGCAGTATAGAATTTTGTGAAAATGTGGTCCATAATAACTCTTCCTCCAGTGAAAAAGTGTTCTGGTGTGAATCAGGAGAGAAATCTGCACAGATCAAGCAGCGTTTAAACAGCTCTAAACACATATGTGGCTGGATTTTGATGTGAGAGACAACAGCAGATGCACTTTTTCACTGGAGGAAGAGTTATTATGGATTATAGACTCGTATTTTAGTTAAAAGTGTCTTAATGCTGGATTTGTTTCAGCTTTTGTCTTCTCCAGATGTTAACTGATGGGCTGGAGTGCTGTGGATTACTTGTGGATTATTGTGATGTTTTTATCAGACTCTCATTCTGACGGCACCCATTCACTGCAGAGCATCCATTGCTGAGACACTGATGCAATGCTACATTTCTCCAAACCTGATGAAGAAACAAACTCATCTACATCTCTGATGGCAAATGATCATTTTTGGTTGAGCTGTTCCTTTAATGTTACTAAGAATGTGGTTCTGGAGCAGGATTCGGTCAGGAGAAGGGACTAGTCGTAACTGAGGACACTGAGTGGCAGTAATTGTTGTTTCTTCATGGTTTAAGTATATATTAGAGTTGGCAGCTTTAACTGAATTCTGAAAGCCTTTCCAAGGCTGTGGAGCCAGAACGGAGAGTTTTCTGGATCTGAACAGACTGTGGACGGATCGCATAGTGGCTGGGCTGAAGGTGAGAATACAATTCAACTGGAGTTGCCAAACTTCAGCAGTGCATTTCATTTCCAAGAGCTCTTGCATGTGAATTTAAACTAAAAATTGGTTGACCGCTGGAACCATGGCCACTTTTTAAAGAGATCCAGCATAAGAATGAAATCAAAAAATTTATATTCGATGGAAACCAAATGCTGCCACTAATTAGGGGATCTGAAACCACACATAATTAATGACTTCATTAATTATTAAATTAGATAAATGAGGCAGAATGACTTCAAAATCCACCAATATTTGAATACCGAGTAAACTCCTCTTAAATGAAGAAAGCCTGATATAAAAATGCACAAGAATTCATCAAAGACAGTTATTAGAAACCTAATATGGCTCATTTTGGTTGAATAATGACTGGACAGCGTTTATTTTAGAGTATGTTTTTAATAGTTCATACTAGAGGAATTCATACACAGGATTAGAAAGTGGATTTCATCAAGATCAACAGAGCAGGAAACTCAAATCTCCATGTATTTATACAACTATTAGATCTGCAGATCATCCAGCATTAAAAAACATAAAAATGTAAAATACATGTTAAAACTGCAGTGTGTCTGGAAACTTGTATTTGCTTCGTTTGTTATTAGAAACCTAATATGGCTAATTTTGGTTGAATAATGACTGGACAGCGTTTATTTTAGAGTATGTTTTTAATAGTTCATACTAGAGGAATTCATACACAGGGATTAGAAAGTGGATTTCATCAAGATCAACAGAGCAGGAAACTCAAATCTCCATGTATTTATACAACTATTAGATCTGCAGATCATCCAGCATTAAAAAACATAAAAATGTAAAATACATGTTAAAACTGCAGTGTGTCTGGAAACTTGTATTTGCTTCGTTTATGACATGATGAATTTTAGATGTCTTGATTGAGAAATTAACAATTTCAGCTTCTGCATATGATCAAATTACGTATGAACACATAGAATCAGATTTCTCTGTTTCTTCACTGCATTTTTTATTAATCAATATTTTTTTGTCATGTATTCCAGTAGATTAACAAAAATCCTAAACGTGTAAAACAAGATAAGTATATTCTTTTTCTTCCTCAAAATGTTTCAAAAAGCCAATTTGACAAAAAAAAATATATAACTTATTATTTATTTATTTATACTATATGATGTACAATACTTGTCAAAAGTTTGGAAACATTACTGTTTTTAATGTAGTTTCTTTTGCTCACCAAGTCTGCATTTATTTGATCAAAAATCTGAAAAAAGCAGTAATATTGTGAAATATTATTAGAATTTTAAATAGCTGTGTTCTATGCAAATATATTGTAAAATGTAATTTATTTCTGTGATGCGCAGCTGTATTTTCAGCATCATTACTCCAGTCTTCAGTGTCACATGATCTTCAGAAATCATTAATACACAGCTATTTCACATTGTAATATTTCACAATATTACTATTTTTACTGTATTTTAGATCAAATAAATACAGCCTTGGTGAGCATAAAAGGCTTCATTACAAACATTTAAAAATCCTAATGTTTCCTCTTTTTGATAATGACGTTTAGATATTTTTCAGGAAAACGTTTTATTGATTAATTAAGGATTTTAGCAGTTTGTTCATAGAAACCTAGGTCATCTTCAGTTATATCTAAAATAACAGTTTAAGTCCCAAGTGATGATCTGATTAGCTGTGTGTATTTCACTACTGTAATATCTGAAGGAATCATAACCAGCTGCTTTTCTTTGATCAAAAGCAGATATTTCCATTTTGTAATGTCAAATCAAACGGTGCGCATGGAAAATCAGCTGAATTTGGCCTCATCAACATCCTTGCGATTTCAAGGCATCTGAAGCGACTTCCAGTGTTTAACAAGCCAACATTATTTCCATGGATGAAGCAATTTAGTAAACTACAAGGTATAAAAAGTTAAATATGGTTGTGGTTCCAAGTGATTACAATTTATCTTTGTGTTCATCCAGAAATGAAACGAATGCCGTGACTTTAGGGTGTTCCTAGTGACTTAAAATACAAATCAGATGATGTTAAACTGATACAAATGTGAATGTAACGTTTAAAGGACACTGCAGATGTGACGTGGCAGGATTGTGTGTTCTGAGGTAAAAGGCTTAGGATGGGGTCAGAGTTCACTCAGGTCAGGTCGTCTCGGCCGTAGTTTATCGGCTGCAGTTGCTTGACCACATAGTCTGCGATCTGACGCGTCCCAGCGGCCACAACCCGTCTGGACATGAGGTCGAGCGGGCCTCCTAGCACACAATCCAACAAGAACACTGAACTAATGAAGCCACTGCTGATTCTCCAACTCCAGCCAATAAACACTTTGAGAATATATTGTGACCCTGGAGCACAAAACCAGTCTTAAGGGTACATTTTTGGAAATTAAGATGTATGCATCATCTGAAAGCTGAATAAATACGCTTTCCATTGATGTATGGTTTGTTATGATAGAACAATATTTGGCTGAGATACGACTATTTGAAAATCTGGAATCTGAGGGTGCTAAAAAATCTAAATATTGAGAAAATCATCTTTAAAGTTGTCCAAATGAAGTTCTTAGCAATGCATATTAATCAAAAAATTAAGTTTTGATATATTTACGGTAGGAAATTTACTAAATATCTTCATGGAACATGATCTTTACTTAATATCCTAATGATTTTTGGCTATAAATCGCTAATTTTGACCCATACAATGTATTGTTGGCTATTGCTACAAATATACCCCAGCGACTTAACACTGCTTTTGTGCTCCAGGGTCACATATTTGTATTTAAATGACATTTAATGATCTTAATTGCAATTAATTAATATTCCCCCGGGTTCACAGACCAGGCTTAACTCTAGTCTCAGACTAAACTGCATGTCTGGGCTGTTTTACCTGTAAGAAACTTGCACTAACTGATCTTAAAATATGTCAGTGCCATTGTTTTGTCTCAAGATGCACACCAGTAATGTTATTTTCTAAGGCACGTTTATAAAAG